GTTTAATCCCATCCTAGGGATCGAGGGTCATATTTAACGACTTGCTTAATAGCAGACTATTCAGTCACGAAAAATGCTGCTGATGAATTGCAACTGTCAATTAATGTAAAACCCAAGGCGCGCCCTTTGGACTGCGCTTCATAGCTACATGCCAATTACTAAATGCCTGTGTATGTCGTTGGTTGATAATGAGTCGGAATACTTACGTACTGGGCCCGGTATGCTGCTGAACCCCATCATTTGTAAGCTGGCTTAGTGGTGCAACCACTAGACTCGGTCGCTGTCACTGTCCCGTGGCGGCGCAACAGTCGATTGATTTTGATCGGCAATATGACCAATAACCCCGCCAAGGAAACCTTGAACCGAGCCATGTCTTGCTGAACACGGTGATGAGATGAGCTTTCTGCAGTCTTCCTTTATTTTTTCCCATCAGTCTTGGTGGATTGAAAACTCTTGTTGATAGCTACTGAATTTGGGATCCCCTCTTTTTTGAGAAGCCATGGTTGGCGTCACGTGTGAAGGATGTTCACGGCCCTTGAGCACCAACATTCCGAGAATCTTGGAGAATAGTATCTAACGCCGGGTCTCTTCGTTCCTCGACTCACCAAACTGCTTTCCCATTATTGTTGATTTTGAATTGAATCAGCAACCAAGGAGCATTGGATAAAAGTGAACAAGGCCAAAGAGGAAGTTCAGTTGGACTAATGCATGGAGCACTATGCTCAGCCGGTACCTCTATTTTGTTCTCCTGCGATTAGAGCAGTGCATTCTTTACTCGAACGCAGTACCCCGTTCACCCAGTTGCCAGAGAACATAGACTGGGAACCTTACCGTAGTAATTCATCCACGCAAGGTTATAAGAATACCACCACCACTCGCCGTACCAGTCTCAATCATCCACCTCCAGAGGAAAGCTCATCGACACTCAGCACCTACTGCCCAATACAGAATCTCCATCAAATCCTTCCGTAACAGTTCTTGTATTTTACACTACACTCGCATCGCTTTATCGCCATCATGGAGAATCAGTTGCAGGACCTCAAGATGGAGAACATGCAGGATCGATTAGACAGTCTAGAACTCCGTTTCGAGGAACTTGCTAATAACCTTACGCATCTATGCGCCACGCAGCTCAGCAAGCAATGCATTAGCTGTATGGAAGACGTCCGAAGCCTAGCGACAGATTGCCTGACCCAGAATGCTGATCATTACTATGCTTGCTTTGACAGGAAAGAGTTCATCAAATACGCACGAAACATTCGGCGATCGATGGCCTTTGATGTCGATGCAAATGACATGATCCGATGTAACAGCATCGACGCCGGGCACCACCGTCAGATGACGGAAGAAGAGCGCGGTGACCGTTTCATGAGTCTCAAAGCTAGCGTCCCGCCGGCAAAGTTTTGCATTCCCCCGTATGACGCACACGAGTTGTTCGTTGAGCTCGCTGACAACCTCAGAGACTTTGCGATCCGGGAGCTGGAGTACCATGACCATCCTTACGTGCCGCATTCTAATGCCAACAGTCAGTCTCCACCTCCCTACGAAAGCCAGGGTCGAGGGCTTCAATACCAAGGCAGTTCTCAACCCATCGCCGCTGCGATGCCTTCTGTCGAAAGTTCATTCGGCAGTGGGGCATCCTTTGTGTCTATCGCCACGGAGATGTCGGGAGATGAAGAGTCCAAGGAACAACACTTCAAGGCGTGGGCGAAAACGCAGGTTGCTGAACATGAAAAGCATCTACAACGCCCAGTCACGCCCCATGTGATCGCCTCCGCTTTGCATCATAACCACAACGCCCGGTACAACAGGTCGGCTCTCCCATTGGGACTTCAGCTTTATAGACTATGTCCTGTAGAAGGCGGATCTGGGTACTGGCCCGCGGAGGCCGTGATTCCCGACCTAGCCACCGGGAGAGATTCGGATTCAGGGTTCGCTGATGGTGACATTGAGATTCTTACGACAACTCGTGACCGACTCAGGGATGTGAACTGGGCTTCGGGTCCTGTTCTGGCAAAGGATGTACCAGCACCTCACCCTTTGCTCCCAGATTGGATGGGTGCAGTTCAAAAACACGCTAATGAGGAGCTAATTGAGTTTGGGCTTGTGGTTGCTTGGCGCTACCACGGAAGTGAGGCGTGGATGGACCGCTACGGTCACCTCGTACCACAAGTTTGAAAGGCGGTTGGATAAAGAGCCTTCTGATGATGACGGCCATGTCGATTGCACTCGTGCTCTCCTGGATCTATTACTATTACTGTGAGGATCAACTCGCTCAGGGACATGCGCCGAGCAAGCGAAACAAGCGAATTCGTTTACAACAGGTCAGAAGTATGAAGTACTAGGCACATTCATAGGAAGTCAAATATACTCCATTAGTACTTACATTGAAAACACAACTAACATCCTAATTTTGTTCTCACCCTCCCTTGTGGTTTTGCTTTTATCTCATTATAGTTTTTTCTGATACTAAGCCAACTTTCAACATGCATTTCAATATTGGACAGATGTGTATGCCAAGCAGTGAACTGAAGTATCCCTCATTGAAATGGCTGTAGCTTCCAATGTTGAGATAATAGGTGACGTGATCGTGGGCAAGCGTAGCCTCCTGTGCTGACGACCGCCGCGGGTATTCTATCTAAGAAAGGTAGTCAGACTCGCGCAGCTTCAACACGCTAGATAACGTATCTACTTCACGGTCATTCTATGATCCTCCAATGACTTAAGATTAACTTCGTGGCTCATTTGCAGGATGGTCCAGCCTTTGGTGTCGTGCAAGGAGTATAAGGTTTCGAGTTGTTTCCAACATCACGACTGCAAGGGCTCTGAGCTCAGTGTCATAGAGTACCTTTTAGTATATAGAACGATAAATCCATCGTTTGATAGTATATAAATTGCTAATATAGAGATAAAGGACCTACTCTCGTTGCTAAATGACATTGCAAGCGTAGAACAGAAGTCCCAGCGTACAGAATACAATCCGTATGCGTTTGAAGTCCGCTATTCCATAACGCTGCTTTCACTAATGATTCAACCTTGCTCGCTTAGTACTCTCATCATAAGAGGCTTGGTCACCATCGTCATCAAAATGAGGTTTCTTAGGCTTCTGTAGCCATAATTGAGGCTCCGTAAACCTTGCTCGCTTCTTAGTCTTCTCATGGGTGCC